TTTACCCTCTGCGTTTGTTTGACGAACAAGATAAAGATTATTATACTTTCGAGCCAAGAAAATGAATTTTGTACACTCACTTTGTTGTCGCAAAGACTATTTTTCCATTCCCTCTTGTTGACCTCAAATATCGCTAGGATCTCGTTATCAAAAGATCTTTAGTCACGTTGTAAGTTGTTGGGTTGCTGCATTTTGTGATGTGAGCCCATTTTCCCAAGACTATTGAATTGAGCCCAAATAAATGGTCTAATATCATAACCCGCTAAGAAGAATCTGGAAGGCTGATCTTATAACACTAGAAACGCGTTTTTTGGGCATAAGGAGCGTTTTTTCTTGGATCAGTGACAAGTGGCAATCGGTGGAGGTTGGACCTGTACCTTTCATACAAATAGAAAGCCTCAGATTTTCTAGGGTTAATAGTTGGTATTCCGAGGGTTTTTCTTGGCTGCGTGCCTTTCATCTTCTCCCTTCTAATCTTGTGATTTCTTTGAAAATACTTAGTGTGATTTTTGGGAGAATTGGTAGAGAAACTCGTGTGAATTCTGCTGTGGAAAGATTGTGTTGTATTTGTGATTTAGGAACTCAGTGTTCTATAACTTGATCTTTGTCTATTTTGGTCGATTTTAGTGAATTTGAGCTTAATCCTTTATGGATGCTCAACGGGGGACTAAGCGTTAGAAGCGGTCGCTGAACCTCCAGGGCCTTTAGTAGAAAAATCTCTCATGTTCTTATTTTCTGTTTTTTTTTTCTGAGAAAATTGTGATATATTTGCGTTGAGTATTTTTGGCATAAATTCAATCCTGGAACTACACACACTCATGCCAAATCGGTATGACACAAATCATTAGCACCATAGTCCTCAAACCAACGGTCAGGTCAAGCAAACTCTCAGTGTAAAGTATATGGAGAGAGTGTGGGAGAAAGAGGAAAAAAAAAAAATTTAGCCAGAGTTTTGATGACAATAAGAAATCGTACATTTACCTTTACCCATGCACCTGTATTTATGGGAGAAGGATTCTAGTGTGGCAAGACACTATCTGATCGGAAAACATTTTCATTTCATTATACATAATAAATTCCACAAAAAATTATATTATTTTTCAATTTTTGTATCGTACAGCTAGTTGAGTGTGGGGCAAAGAAGAAAGATGAGGGTTGGGCCAAGTTGAATCGTAGTTGTACTAGACTGCAGGTGGGCTAATTGGGCTTTGATAGATCAAGCTAAATGAGCCCAAATTCTAAAAAACGGCCCATTCTGAAGTAATATTAGTGCTTATTTTATAAAGTTTAAATACAATTTAAATCGATTAAACTCTTTTTAGTTGTACATTCTATGGACAATTGCTCATCCATGAGATGAATCCAGTGCACTGGATCGATGAATATGAGAAGAATAATGCTGAAGTGCCAGAAAAAAACTACCAGAAGGGCTGACCTACTCTCACAGGCGTGGGACCCACTTGAATATAAAAATGCCGACCTCACCGTGCTTATGCCTGTTCGGTCAGCCCATCTGTTAGGGCATCTGTTGCTGTAGCACCCTTCATATGAGAATTGAGCTGGCCTGAAAAGCGCTTGAGCGCTTTATGTATGATATAATCATATAAACCTTTGCTTAAATTATAATTTAAAACAAGAACATGTCGCAACCTTATTTTGTTATCATCTTTTAACATGCGCTGGGTGTTCTAACTTCCTCACACATTTTAGACAATCCGTTTGACACCACTACCTCGAGTTCGTATCTCATAAATGGTAATCTCAAACGTGAATCAACGTGTTCATTTCTTGTGTTTCTTTCTCTATGAAAAGAATCGGCATGGTCAATTTACCATTCACAGTCATGTTTGGATGTTTATTGATTTAGAATAGTCCAGAAAATGACCCATCAATCCGAGTTCGGGCCAAATCTCATTATGGTCCCTATGAACCATCTGTCTACATAAAATGGACTAAAGATGAAATCAGCTTTACAGGTTTAGGCCATTTGTATTTCGGTTGGACAGAAAGAGACGTGTCCATGAGCAAAACGAAATGACCTTGACTATACAGTCCATTTAAGGTATTTTGTTTCTACTTAGAATAAGAATCGAAAATCTTAGTTATTACGGTCAAAATTTACAGACTGTAATCAACTTGTGATGATTAGAAGCAATTACCCCGAGAGTGCTATTTGCAGCACATATTTGAGGAAAAAAAATTTAATCCAAATGGGTTCTTGTTTTTTGCTTTATTTTCTTGTTTGTGTTGTTATTTTTTTGGGTGGTGACGGTGGATGTCGATGATTTTTTGGTACTATTAATTTCATAATATTAAGAACAGTGAACAAGTTATGTTGATTGATTAGTACTAGATTTTTAACTTCACTCGAGATCCTAGTTGGTTTGGTGAAAGTTGAAACTTTAATGAAATATTGAACAAGAACTTTACAAAAGAAGAAAAAACAAAAGCGACTTTGAGTCAAGAATTTGGACTAGGAATTAACAAGAATCATATTAATTATAATTAGTCATAATTTGGTTTCAATCAATTTGATAAAGCTACTTTTGAACCAAAGAGTGGTCGTGGTCAATGTGGGTGAATTTGCCATAAATTTTCAGATGGGTGAAAACTAAAGTAATTATTTTGTCGGAAGTTGATAGATTTATTTGATAAGAACAAGGTTTTTTTATTTTTTAACCAACAATATCGCCCACATTAGGTGGCAAAAAATGGACAAGAAAATGATATTAATTCTACCGTTTTAGTTTTCCTTAAAAAGAAGTCCTTACGATACCATTGCCTGATCAGTCTCCATTCTAAAATTCACACAGTACACACACCACTTTCTCCATCAATGGAAGCCAGCGAAGGACTTGTCGCTGGTTCTCACAACATGAATGAACTTGTAGTCATATATGGCCATGAAGAGGTAACCATATACTTGTTGTAAAAATTAACATGATTTGTGCAATGTACTATCAATTATAAGCACGAATCAAATAAAATAAATATGAAAATAGAGTTAGAAAAGCTCGCCTAAGAGAGTCGCGATAATCACTGTCTTAAAGTCGTGTGACCTCCCCTTCGTGTGAATACTTTTGGCACGCACGGCTCCAAGATAAAAACCCTTATAGCTTGCAGTTGCAGCCGATTCTCCTTCTATATGCACAACCATAGGGAGAGAAAGAACAAGCCTTTATCAATTGTCAAAAGTTTATAGAAGAAGATAAAATGACAAGGGAGGAGTATGAGAAGAAAGTAGTATGAAAAGAGAGTAGAGAGTACTTTGTGTTTGATTTTGTTGTGTCAAAAAATGTGAAATCCACCCTTTTTTATATTAAAAGAATTCAACCATCTCATTATGAAAGTTAATAAAATTCAATATATGTTACAAATATAATAATGGGATTAAATTTTGTACTGAATATAAAATAAAAAAAAACTGAAAAATTAAAAAATTAAAATTGAAAACTTAAAAATTAAAATGAAAACTGAAATTTTTTAATATTTAATTTGAAAGTTTTTATAACTTATTTTTTTCCACAATTCCCTACAAGTTTTAAAACTTTCAAAATAATTATATATGTCCATAATGGCAATATTATACTGTGTAATAGGTGTCTTTTGAACTTAGACATCACTTAGTGATAACAATTTCCGTTTGAGGGAGCTATAATGGACTAAGCCTTGAATTATGTACCTTAAACCAAACTTCAATTGCTCCACACATAGTATCGATTTAGGCTCATTTCATAGCGGGTAGCGCTGTTAATGGCTATGCGCTTTTATTTTGATTCTAGTAAGAGTCTCTAGGGAATAGCCCAATCCCATATTCGCGATCTCATGACAACTCTTACATAAGTGAGTCTTCCGAGGGTGCGTGTGACACACACCTCGCAAAAATTCGCTCCTCGGTACTCATTTAGGGTAAACCGTTCCTAACATCACAATCATAGCACTATCACCATAGGGATGAGCATAAAATATAGTGCTATTGCGAGTCATGCAGTGCAGGTTGTTCTTACCACATTGAATTTTTTTCATGGGATCTCCAATCACAAATGTTATGTTATTCCATAGGTAACTCCCTTATGGGCTTAACTCATCCCCCTAGATGATTTATGTATATCCATTACGGACTATACTTTATTTCATTTCCCTCTTGGACAAATAACTTGGTACCATCAATATTTACAAGCTCTTATTCTAGCTTGCACATCTGCAAAGTTATTGAAGAAAATTTCAAAGTATTAATATTACATAAGATAAATACATGAACTTTCTAATTTTGACTTTTAGCAACATATTTAGGCTGATACATCCATTAAACTCTTGATTTCGTTTGCAGTTCTACAATTTTATTTATACACTTTTCAAAAGTCAATTTTACAAATAAGGATAATAAAAATTTAAGATGTATTCATCTGAAATTTTGAATACCCCCACATTTCAACTTGTGGAACTCTTTACCACATTCAAAAATCGTCTTTTTTCTTACCTCCCTTGTGCTTATAGGTAGGATGTCACTTATTATCAGTGTTCTAAAAAGCGGCCCCCAGACGTGAACCAAAACGGTAAGCCAAGTGGCTTGGAGGCAATCGTTGACCGTTAAGGTGTGCCTAGGCACAATTATGCGTGCATTGGTACACATTATTATCATTTTTAAAATTTTTGCAATGTTAAAAAATTATCAATGACTAATTTCTTTATTTTGTTCTAATTTAAAACAACCACTTATATTGGAAGGCACAGAGGATAAATTAGATGAAGAAGATGATATTGAATTGGAGTCTAATAAAGAGTTAGATAAAATTAAATTCCTATACTATTTATTTACTATTTTGAAATTAAGAGGGTGTTTGGCATTTATTTTTAAGGGAAAATATTTTAAAATAGTAGATTGATAGAGTATGAGTGGATGAAAAGTTTTAAAATTACGTGTAATATTATTTTAATGAAGAATGTGTGGTTGAAAAAAAAAAAGAGAAATACATTTTGATAAAAATGGGAATCAAACGGAGCCAAAATTTGAAACTTATCTTTTTGTTGGAAACTTTGAAAAAATGTATAACGTTTCTATAAGTCTATTTTAAATGTTTAGTTAGTATTATTTTTAATTATTAAATATTTTTTGATTTATTCAAAATTAAAATAAGAAAACTCTTTTACATTTTTTTATGCCTAAACCTCGCGTTGCCCATAGCTTGGACTCAATGCATTGCTATGCATTACGCTTTTAGAATACTGCTTATTGTAGAGCAAGAGAGGATGGCATCTATTACATGACATGAAAATTCAATGTATATGATTATTGATCAAAATTAATGTCCCTCATAATCAATATGATTTAATTAAATGGATTATCACTTAATCTATTCGACAAGACTTTACAAGGTTAGTGATTAGTCCAAATATACATATATATCATTAGTTCTCCAACTTGAAAAGCATGATCGAACACAGTGATGTTTATGTTTCACAAAACATTAACCAGTAAGAATTAACATGACTATAAGTATCAAATATGGTTTAACAATATTGATCTAAGTAAACATGCTTTCGTAGTAATAAAATAAGCCTTAGATAGAAGACATTTGCTATTTTGTACTCCAAATTAGCTAAACATCATGTCAAAATTAAATTAAACCATAAACTTATTTTAAAATATAGTACATCAAATATCCCGCAAAAGAAATATTGTTTCAATTTAACACAATCACGTGAAATTCTAGCAAATATAGAATATAGCCCAAATTCGTTGTTCACCCGCATTCACTTTAATAACTTAAAATTATGAGGGCTCATATAAAAGTTAAAATAATTAAATGTCAAATCAATTATTTTAATTATTAAGATTTAAAGCCTTCGAAACTTATATCAAATTGATCACACTACATGGTAGTATTATTATATGTTATTCAAACATCAAAATATGAGTTACATATCTAAATTGAACAATAATATTTAATTTTAATTATTAAGATTTAAAGCTTTCGATGCTTAAATCACATTGATCATAATACATGATAGTATTATTATATAGGTTATTCAAATATCAAAATATGAGTTACATATCTGAATTGAATAATATTATATCACTATTATTCACTAGAGTTATACTTTACATTTTCTAAAATATTAGTTAAGCACATTATTAAGGGTTAAATCTTTTAACCGCTTGTTCAAAATAAAATCATAGAATTCCCATGTAATTAATATAACCTTATAAATTCACATGCATGACAAAATACTAATTTTGGTTAAAATATACCGTGATAATTATGAATAATCATGGATAAAATACACATAGATATTCAAAATTTCTAATACGTGTAATTTTTGATTTTTTCCCCCTAAATAACAACTAGTAATCTTAAGCCTACTAGGAGCCATTCAATTTCTCGAACATATGGCCAATAACTTAAAAGATTTCAACGTCCTCATTTTCCTTTTCGCAACAAATAAGTGTTACATAAATTAAGACAAAGGTAAATGACTTATTGAAATATTAACATGACAAAGGCATGTAAGCAGACAACATGTTTGTTTTATAGTAGCAATTCAGTGATGAAGTATTTTCAGATAGATAACACACTCTTAATTTAGGTGTAACAATTTGGAAGTAAAACATTAAATTTTTACACTGCAATATAGTACAAAAAGTTTGACACGAAATAGGTTGGAGCAAAGCACTACATGGTTAAAATTTTTCTGTATTTTCAGTTTTGAATATTTTCTTCAGTTTCTTTTAGTATTGATGGTTTAACAAAATAACTTCTCAAGTTATGCACCTCTACCTTTCCAGATTAGCTTGGCTAAAATAATACATTAAACAAGGATCCATAGCTAGCAATTAGAAATTCTTCTAACTAGAATTTTCATTTCTATTATAATTATGCTGAAAGCTTGACATGTTGGCAATTGAACACATATAACATCATTAGTTGTATAACAAGTCTCTGCTTTCCAAACATATTTATTTTCTAGAAGATTTCATATATAATTATTTTCCTATTAAGCAGGAATGCATAATCTTATTAAATATCAGATATATAAGTCAACAGAAGAAAATTAAACTACATAGAGTTCAAAAATAAGAATTATTGTTTTATCTGCACTGCCCAGCCATTCTCCTCTCTATTTAAGATTTCAAAGAAAAGATAAAGAAGAAAGCATAAAAAATTATGTCAGACAAATAGAGAACATAACAAATACAAAAGGAAGTATTAATCTATTAACAAAGACATATTTCAGCAAAATTTTGTGTAGTCAAAGATTTGCACATGTGAATTCTTAGCCCCGGTTTGGGTGTGTCTAAGATTAATTTTATTTATTTACTTTTTTAATGGTTCTTTCTTGCATTAATAATAAGACATTTGATTTCATGCTTAAATCAAAATTATGTCAAACAGCAAGCTATGTGTTGAAGCTACAAATTATTGAAGCCGTGCCTGATAATTTAGGTAATACTTGTAGTAAAACAAGAGTTCTAATTTCATGCTTCAATCTAGAATATCACTTCCCATAAGAAAAGCAATCTTGCTGATTTATCCATGTTAAAAGTAATTGCCTGATTTTATAATTAAGAAACATCATCGAGTCTGTTTTACCCACTCAACAGAAAATCATACAAATTACTCAAACACGACTTTAATTCAATAATTACATAAACATAATAATATAAACATTATAATTCAACAATAAGAAGAGACGAGTTAGAAATGTAAGTCTTAGGGAATCACGTCAAGAACGTTGTCCTAAAATCGTGTTGCATCTCCTTCGTGCGAGTTCTTTGAGTATTACACGACTCCAAGATAAAAATCCATGTTGCTGACAACTGGTTCTCCTTTTATGGGCACGATCATAGGAAGATAAATGAATGAACTTCTCATCAAATTGCCAAATAGTATAGTATAAAACTGTAGAGAAAATAATACTTCAGGTTGTTATATTCTAGCTCTATTTTTCAATAAGATATAATCATCTTTTATAGGTGAATATCAACCCCACAATTAAACCATTAAAATATAAGTTATAATATGAATTATGATGTTTTTAATCTATGTCAAAACTAATTATTAAATCAAAAAATAGAAAATTAAAAGATTTAAATATTGAAAGGTTAAAACTTTATTTTCATGTTACAACACATTCATGATTTACAAAAATGATTTACAAGATGCTGAATGTGCATTTGTGTGTAAAGAATATAATGCATGTCTCACTACACATTTTATTCAATCATTCAACCACTCCATCACCGTATTATAAAAAAATTATCCATCTTTCCCTATTGCCTAAACCATAGCTGTAAAATAATGACTAAATGGGCAAGGACACAATTTGCATTTGGAGATGATGATGCATACATGTTTTAGATATAAGAAGTCATTTTTCTTAAATTTTTTATATCTTTTTACAAAATCGGTTAACTTACGAGGATATAAAGTGGTTGTCTAGTCATCTACTTGATTGTATATACGCACAGAACAAAGATCCCTTCATCATGGTCTTGTTTATGGGATTGTGACCAAAAACATCATTAAGACCACTAACCTTGAGATTCTCAACTTATTCTTTTAAATTAAAGCATTTGAGGGAACGTTATTGAATGGCTGTACACAGGGAATGTTGGATTCCCCATCTCTCTTCCCATTATTATACTCAACATGACACACACACACATTCTTATAAATCTGCCAATTTTTTCGTTTAAAGCTAAACGAATTCCATTATATAAAGTTCACAGAGATACTGACAAGATTATTCTGTATTCTAAAGTACACATTTCCAAGCCACAAGATAGCCAGCAACCACTGACTGGCCCCATTCAAATTTTTGGTTTGCACATGTAGAGGAGTGTGTTTAACAATTAATAAACATTTACTTGTTCTAAGAGCTTAAATATTTAGACAGGTAGTTCAAAACGGTATAAATTTGCCATGTGTTTTTATTTAGACTATGGCATGACTTCACAAATCTACTCCTAGAATATTTCCTTAATTTACCCTTAGGATTTTGTCCATGTTCTGTTGAATTATAGCTTCTAGATATCCTTTTCTTGATAAGCTCCTGCCCGTGACAGGCATATTACTTCTCTTTATACAACCCAAAGGACTCCAATAATTTTTCTTGGACTCACAGACTAGGAAAATGAGTTCTAGGGATAGAAAACAAGAATGAAGTTTTCATATGGGCATTATTACATTACAGAAAGTTCATTGAAAAACTTGTCCACAGAACACTTTCATCACTAGCAATAATCAAGATTTTGTGCCTGTACTTCTTGATATCAATGAAAATGGAAAGAGGAAGAGAATCTGCCTTCTGCATTATCACATTTCTTTGCTGTTGGAGCACTGTAATTGGTTTGCTCTCTCCGAAAGGCATAAACTTTGAAGGTAAAACTGATTCCCGCATTTTATACTATCTTATTAACTTCTGAAAATCTGAGAACATCCCAAATGAATATTCTGCCATAGCTGGTATTCAAGAATCGGTCCATGAGATATTGGTATTTTTGTATTCAGTGCAAGCTTTAATGGGCATAAGAGCTGGTTTGAAGGATCCTCGTGGGGTTCTTGATAACTGGGATGGGGATGCTGTTGATCCATGTAGCTGGACTATGGTCACTTGTTCTTCTGAGAGTCTTGTTATTGGCCTGTAAGCGTTCTGCCTAAGCAAAACCTTTTCTTTTTATACTGTAATATGTTATACAGAAGCCCTCAAATCAGGTTTTAGAGAAAAAAAAAATTACAAAGGAGGCTTATGGAGTTAATAGATTATGTTGTGCACTGTGCAGAGGATCTCCTAGTCAAAGTTTATCTGGAATTCTTTCTCCAAGCATAGGAAATTTGACAAATCTTCAAATTATGTAAGTAGAAAGTGTAGATAAATTGTTAAGGGGTTTCGTAATTTGTTTTTTCCCCTTATGTAACTTGTATGAGATTTTGGCAGACTTTTGCAGAACAATAACATTACAGGATCAATCCCAACAGAGCTAGGAAGGCTCTCAAAGCTTAAAACACTTGATCTTTCGAATAATTTCTTGATCGGTAGAATTCCTCCTTGTTTTGTCCAACTGAACAGTCTCCAATACATGTAAGGACTGTCTTTGTGCTGCAGAATCGGGGACTTGGAATTGGATATTTCATTGAAAATCAGTTTATATTCCTCGCTATTGAACTTGGCTATATTCCTATGTTGGTCTCACATGGGTATTTTCAATGCATTAGGAGGCTCAACAATAACAGTCTATCTGGAGAGATTCCGATGGCATTAGCCAACATGACACAACTTTCTAATGTGTAATTCTCTTTTACCTCTTAATCAACTACCGACATTCTTCGTACAAATAATATATTGAAATTTGTTGTGTTTGCTTTATTCAGAGATTTGTCGTACAATAACTTGAGTGGCCCTGTACCTCATTTTCCTTATAAGACTTTCAAGTAAGCTACTTCCCAAATCTAGATGTGTTTCCTAAAGAAAATTAAGATTGCTGAGAACTTTTTTTGTTTAAATTTCATTGCAGCATTGTTGGAAATCCTTCAATATGTGCTGCAGGGTCAGAGCCCGAGTGTGCAGGAATAACATTGATGCCTATGTCTATGCCCTTGAACACTTCAGGAAGTATGGAATAACCTCAAATGATTTTTACTAAGGGAGTGTTTGATAGCATGAAAATGGCAAAAAAAAAGATGGAATTAGAATTGGAAACTTGGAATTTTCCTTGTTTTAGTGGAATTTGAATTCTCACCATATATGGTAAGAATTCAAATTCCACCCTACTGTAGCGACTTTTTTTTTTCTTTTTTTGGTAATTGAAATCAATTTTAAGAATTATTGTAAAAAATATTTTTCTTTAATTGACAATTTCCATGTAAAACAAAGCTAAATGAACATAAAAAAAACACTTTTATTTCAACATTTTTCACCTGGAAAATTATACTAATCAAATGCAATAATTTACAATTCACAGGAAAACAATTCTAGGCAATTCAATTTCCTGGAATTCATTTTCTAGGCAATTCAACTCCATCTTTGCAATCAAACGGACCCTAAATTTTGTTTCATCGAACTTTTATTGATAATTAATGTCCTCCTTCAACCAATTGTCTTATCCTTACCTTAATTTCCATGCCTCCTATAGATGTTCTTCATTCTGGGAAATCAAAAGGTCACAAGCTAACTCTTGCACTCGTTTCAAGCGTCGCTTGCATCTGTTTACTTATCCTAGGATTTGGGCTGTTACTGTGGACAAGGCACAGACATAAGAAACAAAAATTCTTCGATATTAAAGGTTTATTCGGCTAGTTCAATTCTTTTAACTATGATTTCTCTACTTTTCCTTTTCTTTAACTACCTATTACTTCAAAATTATAGATGGAAAACATGAGGCAGTTTCGCTTGGAAATTTAAGGATGTTCCAGTTTAGGGAACTTCAGACAGCAACCAACAACTTTAGCAGTAAAAACATTTTGGGAAAAGGTGGATATGGACATGTCTACAAGGGCTATTTACGAGATGGAACTGCTGTGGCTGTGAAAAGGCTGAAAGATGGTAGTGCCATTGGAGGAGGGAGACAATTCCAGACAGAAGTCGAGATGATCAGCCTAGCTGTTCATCGGAACCTCCTTAGGCTGTACGGATTCTGTATGACTCCAACAGAAAAGCTATTGGTTTACCCTTACATGTCCAATGGAAGCGTTGCTTCTCGTCTCAAAGGTACACATATTCTAGGACTTATCATTACTCAGTTGTGCTTTCAGAATCTTGAAATTGCAAGAAGATTAGATTGTGCTGAAGAGTAATAAAACAATATAATGCTGATTAGGCATTCCATTTAACTTGAACAGCAAAACCAGTCCTTGACTGGGGCACAAGAAGAGGAATAGCCTTAGGTGCTGCTCGGGGACTGTTATATCTCCACGAGCAATGTGATCCAAAGATAATTCACAGAGACGTAAAGGCTGCAAATATACTCCTTGACGACTACTGTGAAGCAGTGGTAGGAGATTTTGGGCTAGCAAAGCTTATGGATCATCAAGATTCACACGTTTCAACCGCTGTACGTGGCACAGTAGGGCATATAGCCCCAGAATATCTCTCCACTGGCCAGTCCTCTGAGAAGACAGACGTATTTGGATTTGGGATCCTTCTACTTGAATTGATCACTGGAGAAAGAGCACTGGAATTTGGCAAAGCAGCTAACCAAAAAGGCGCAATGCTTGATTGGGTGAGAGCACACAACACGAACTTGCATTCTCTTAACAAATTCGATTCCATTCTTGTGTTTTTCTTACTTTCAAGGATGTCTAAAATATGCATCAGGTGAAGAAGCTTCATCAAGAGAAGAAACTGGACACGTTTGTCGATAAAGATTTGAAGAACAACTATGATAGGATTGAGCTAGAGGAAATGGTTCAAGTGGCACTTTTATGCACACAGTATGTTCCAAGCCACAGGCCTAATATGGCTGAAGTTGTCCGTATGCTAGAAGGAGATGGCCTTGCAGAAAGATGGGAAGTTTCTCAAAGATTAGACACAAACAAGTATAAAACGCGAGAACTTTCCTCATCGGAACGATTTTCGGACTTAACTGATGATTCTTCATTGCTTGTTCAAGCCATAGAACTCTCTGGTCCGAGGTGAATCAACTACACATGTTAATTTTGTTAAACGCAGACCACAATTTCTCAAAGGGGAAGTTCATAGCAAAGGCTATAAAGAACTTTGAATTCCTTCTTTTACATAATTTTTTTTTTTTTTTTGGGTTAATGTTCTTCGGAGGATTACGTTTGAATTAGCTACTTGTCTGGAGACATATGCCCAATATGATAAGCTTGTTAGTGAAAGTCGATGCAATATTATATCGATTTATTCAATAAGACAAATTTTTATTGCAATTAAGAAAGTCTAAGCAATTTGTCCAAATACATCTTGTGATTCTAACAACTAATTTAGACAAATATTTTATATCCTCTTCATTTGTTATTACCGAACTACCGTAGATGCATAATTCAATACAGTCCATAATCTAGGAATAAAAATATATTTAAAACCTGCTCTTTTAGGTAATCGGGGAAGGCATGATGAACATGGCCGCTACCTCTAATTTCTTTAACCTAACTCGAATCATTTTTTTTTTAAATTTAAATTTTGTTTAAAATAAAAATAATGTAAAAAATTAATTACATAATTTCCATCCTGTCTCGCCCCATGAAACTCCTTGACTAGGCGAGGACAAGAAGGGTTGTCTCATCATGTTGCCATCCTAAAATTGTGATCCACAATATACTTACCATTTGTTTGTGATACTGACATTCCCTATAACCCGATCACTATATTATCCCGACGACCAATTTTAGATGAAGTTGCTATTCCACATATGGAGTGCTCGAACATATGGCACCCCGGGATACAATGCCCGATCACTTCCTGCCTGGCTGCTTTACATATTGCGATACTTGTCCTCGAGCATATGCTCCCCTCACAACCTACGATTGTTGACCCTTTAGAATTTCTATGCAATTAGGACTCTGATGTAGAATTAACCAAAGAGAAAAGAAGAAGAGGAAGAAGAAACTGAAGGAGGAAGGGAGGAGAGGAGAGAAACGATATCACCACATCTATTTCATTCATCAAAACTAAAATTTCAATCCAATTACAATAATATAAATACCAAAATAATAAACTTGGGCTTGGGCCAAACCCATAAACAAGCCCAATAAAACATAAAACCTAAAATAAGTATATAGAAGATAAAATGGCCCAACAAGTGGCCCGATGAGGATGATGTCCGCATCAGACTCTAACTCAACCATATACTTGACTCCCTCAAGGACTCTATCACACATACAATTATGGTATTTGACCAACTCCTTAACTGTACAGGACTCCAACAGATAAAGACATCCAACTAGTTGAGTCCCACTGGGAGAATGTCGCTTACTACTATAAATACAGAATCTTGAGCCATTGTTTAAGTACGTTTTTCATTATTCCCCAGTTTATAGCCTCAAGCATATAATTCTCTTTCTGACTTAAGTATCGGAGGGATGATGAGAACATACCTCGTTGTCTTTGTTTCAGGTATCGGAAGATTACGATAGTGTTCAATCCAAATCATCAAGCTCGGAAAATCCACAGGTACGATTTTTGATAGCATTAGTTTGATAAAAAAATTTAACAAGTGATTTTTTGAAAAAACAAAAAAAAAATTAATATGTGATTAAAAATTGGTAAAGATTATGAGAAATAGAATA